GCCCGCCTCAGCCTCTCAAAGTGGTGGGATCACAGGCATGAGCCACCATGCCTGGCCAGATTTCCCAACAATTAAATGTTGCCAGGTAATCAAAATTTTAAACACTGTATGAACCCAACAAACCATTTCTGAGGCAGATGTGGCTCCAGGCTACCGTTTTGTACCTTCTCTTCTACACCTGTCAGATATTCTCATTCTTACTCTTGATATTTAAGAAGGTTCAAAAATATTTTTGACTGAAGGAATAAAGAACCACAAATCTGAGAATATAACTCTCATGTTCTTCATGTGCTGAAGCTCACACACGTGAAAAGAAAAGCAAAAAGAAAAGAAAGGTAGTTACCTCTTTTATTTTGAAATATGCCTGGCCCTTGATTTTGGCAGCAATGGTAAGAACTTTGTTATCAAAAACAAACTGAACAAAAGCTTTTAAATTAGGCCAGAATATCAGCTGAGTGTTGCTTAAAGAAGATATAATTTTCCAAGCCATGTCAAAAGACTCCATGCAGAGTGATTCAGAGGAGGTCAGAAGCTGGTAGGAAAAAAAAAATACATACTTATTTTAGAAACTTTGATCGCCACTCCTATAGTTCCTCTTCAACTCATGTTTCACTCTATCTTACCTTGGGAACCAACACTTTCAAGCAATGGAACACTGGTAAAACTTGATCAGAAGAAAGAACTGTGAGGGCTTCTAATGCAGACTGCAAAGTCCTGATTGGCATCTGAACGGCAGGCAGAAATGGTTCCAGAATTTCACTCCCTGTGCTTGGTATAAGGGTGTGATATTTTTTCAACAGGAAAGAGAGGCACACCCATTGATCATGAATATATTGTGCAACTATTTTTCCCCATCCTTGGGAAGATGACGATTCTTCTAAAACACTGAAATAAAAAATAAAGTTACTAGGCCATACTTCCCCAACTTGCCTCCACGTCTTTTGCACGTAGCACACTATCCTTCTAAAGCGGGGGTATACAGATATAAATGGTCATTATCAAACAGCCTACCTACCGATGACTAAGGAAACCACATAAACCTTAATTTTCTAACTCCTCTGAAAGTAGGCACTTTTGCTCATGTTAAATGATTCAGAGAAAACTAGATGCAGAAAAGTCAGCAAGTCTCCAGCAACAGAAATGAATAACTCCAGTAACAGAGTTACGCTACACTTTCATCCTGAATGGGGCTTCAGCTCCAAAATTCTGTAACTATATAAGCAATGCTGGGCAGTCATGAACCCCTGATGACAACAGAAATGGATTTTTAAGCCTTAACTTTCCCTGTACCTGGTACACTCCGAGGGATGAGCATAACTGCTCTGCTCCTCTGCGTGGGGCTTCTGCAGCGTCTGATTGAGCTGAAGAGAGGAAAGGAAGCTTTCCAGGGGCCCAGCATGGAGAGAGTCCAGCTGCAGCTCAGGCTTCTGGTCTATGGCCTCACACACCATGGCCAAGGCAGCCATGCTCACTACTCTCTGAATCTGATTTCCAAGTGTTGGCTCCTGAAAAGGAAATGTGACAATGTTTTATTTAATACGCGCAAGTCTTAATCAGTAAGGACCTCAGTTGCCAGTCTATGGAAAGCTCAGGCTCTCCTTTTTCCTCTTCCTGCCTGCTCCTGAATATCAGGAGAAATAAAAGGAAATCCAACACACATCATTCACTTCCACTACTTCTCTACAGATTGGGAGTGAACAATTTTAAAGTAGCAATAAGAACTCAGCAATTTAGATTAAGACCACAATGAGATCTTTTCATTTGGTAAACAGGTAACTGGAACTAGTAGATGACAGATTTACTATGTACAGAACCCAAAGCTGTGTGTAAGTCCTTCTCGACCTTTCTCCTGGTCTCATACACATCTGCGTGCAGCATTCCTATGGGTGAGTCTTATTTTAATTGTCTGTTGAAACAAGTTAAAAAAAATATAAAAGACTCCAGGTTACAAATAATTCCTTCAATCAGCAGCACACTACTTTTGGAGAAGTCACACAGCCCAGCAGTTAAGAGCTGGACTCAGGAACCACAAAGCCCAGGTCTGAATCCTAGCTCTGTGCTACTACCAGTATGAGTGTAGACATACTGCACCTTAGTTTTCTCATCTGTAAAATGGGAACAGTGAAAGAATCTACTTCATGGGGTTACTGTGAAGATTAAGCAAATGGGTTACTGCATGTAAAACACTCGGAACTCTACATGTAGGAAAGGAGGGTAGCCAAGACCACCTGGTCTATACTTAAAGAGAAAATCAACAATCTCTCACCAAGCTAGGAGTGCAGGCAAGAAGTCAGACACAGAAAACAACAGCACTGAGAGACTGCAGCAGTTCTCTCAAATACTGCCAACCAGTAATGTCTGCATCAGAAAGGAAATTTCTATTTATTCCATACCCCTCCCTCACTCTCCAAAAATAAATCAACCATCTCTACAAAAAAATTTTACATATCAACACCGCCAACATATGAAATAGAATTTAGGGTTACCTTTGGGCCAACTATGGTCCCCGTTAACCTTAATGTAATTCAGTGAATTACTAAAGGAAGCCGATTTTTAAGAATAAGAGTTACTGTGGCATGGTTCATGGTTTGGCTGTATATTTAGAACTCACAATGTTCTTTCATAACACTAACAGACTAATAGGTACCAGACAGGATGTCGAAATATTAATCATCTTCCTTATCATTTCCTCCTAGAATAAAATTAAATTATTAAAGCAATCGAGTACCTTCTTTGTTTTTCTTAGTAGCCTGGGCTAGTTAGACTGATTGAGTTCAACTTATTAAACACTTACCACATGTTAAGTGAAAATGGCTTTTATTGAGGCCTTTCTATCTGCCAGGTACAGTTCTAAAGATTTAACATGTATGAACCTTCTTTAATTCCCACATCAGCTCTATAATCCCCATGTTGCAGGTGCAGTAAATGAGACACAGAGGGGTTAAATAATGTAGGTCACACAGTTAGCAAAAATAAAGCCAGAATTCAAACCCAGCAACTCTAACTCCAAAGCCTGTGCTCTTCATTGCTAAGCCTTATTGTGCTATGTTCAAGAAATGCCTTGACCAGGCGTGGTGGCTCATGCCTGTAATCCCAGCACTTTGGGAGGCCAAGGCGGGTGGATCACCTAGGTCAGGAGTTTGAGACCACCCTAGTCAACATGGTGAAACTCCATCTCTACTAAAAATAAAAAAATCAGCCAGGCGTGGTGGCAGGCACCTATAATCACAGCTACTCGGGAGGCTGAGGCAGGAGAATTGCTTGAACCCAGGGGGGCGGGGCGAGGTTGCAGCGAGCCAATGGCACCACTGCACTCCAGTCTTGGCAAAAGAGCGAAACTCCGTCTCCAAAACAAAACAAAACAAAACAAAACAAAATGCCTTCAGACCAGGCACAGTGACTCACACCTACAATCCCAGAACTTCAGGAGGCTGAGGCAGGCAGATCGCTTGAGGTCAGAAGTTCGAGACCACCCTGGCCAACATGGCAAAACCCCATCTCTATTAAAAAAATTAGCCCGGCATGGTGGCATACACCTATAGGCCCAGCTACTCGAGAGGTTGAGATAGAATTGCTTGAACCCAGGAGGTTGAGACTGCAGTGAGCCAAGATCACACCACTGCACTCGGTCTGGGTGACAGAGAGAGACTCTGTCTCAAAAAAAAAAAAAAAAAAAGGAAAAGATATATATGCATACATTACTCCAAAAACAAGAAAGATGGAAATACACACTATAAATGAGGCATAAAGAGCAATAGGAAGATGAAGGAGAGTGAGATACTAATCGATGAAGACCGCTAAGAGAAAAGAGATTCCAGCTGGTCCATAAAAGGGGGGACCAGATGCTGACAAGTGTATGCTGGAGGAGAGGGCACTCATTCTCCACGGAGAGACCAGACTGAATGACAGCCTCCAGGAGGAAGACAGGACACATGCTTGTGATCTGTAAAACTCTAAGTAGCCTAGAGTGGCTGCAAAGTCATGGCACTGTGGGAAGGAGGGGGAAAGGCAGTGGACAGTGGACAGCTGGGCTGAAAAATGAGGTAGGAAACCAAGCATGGAGGGCAATAATGTCAGACTATAAAATGTCCTTTACTGGACACATTTGGGCAAAAGATCTAGTACAGGTGAAATGTCTGTATCTAAATGATTTTAAGATCGATGCCGCTTATATGTTTAGTATTATATTAACAGCATCACCTGCAATCCCAGTACTTTGGGAGGCCGAGGTGGGTGGATCACGAGGTCAGGAGTTCGAGA